GTTGTTTGTTTTCTTGATGTTGAGCTTCATGAGCTGCTTGTAAATTTTGGAGATTAGTCCTTTGTCAGCTGCTTCATTTGCAAATATTTTCTCTCATTCTGACTGTTGTCTTTTCGTCTTGTTTATGGTTTCCTTTGCTGTGCAAAAGTTTTTAAGTTTCATTAGGTCCCATTCGTTTATTTTTGTTTTTATTTCCATTTCTCTAGGGGACCCAGAACATTTGAACAGCCATATGCAGAAAGAGCCTAAACTAATCTCTCTCACTCTTATAAAAATTAACTCAAATTGGTCATAGACCTAAATGAAAAACCAAAAGTATAAAATTTCTAGAAGAAAACCTTTGTAGGCTTGAGTTAGTTAGGCAACGATTTTGTAGGTCACAAACAGTACAAATTGTATAAGAAAAGAATTGATAAACTAGACTTAAAGGTAAAAATCCTACGTTCTTCGACAGACATTGTTAAGAAAATGAAGGCAAGCCACAGGTTTGTAGGATATGTTTGCAAAATACATATCTGATAAATGACTAGTGACCAACATAGATGAAGAACTCCCAAAACTCAGTTATGAGAAAACGACCTCTCTGTTTAAACAGAAGCGAAAGATTTGAACAACTGCATCACCCAAAACAGCCGTGGATGTTGGCCGTGTAAAGCCACAGAACAGCAAGCCTTGGAGCTTCGTTCGGGTGACGGGCACTTTGCACGCTAAGAAATGGTTAGAGGTGAACTAGTAATCCCAGGGCGAGAATCAGGTTTCTTACGCTCGAAGCCCAGATCACACTGGACTAGCGCTTCATCCCCATCTCTTCCCGGGTCCTAGGAGACTGCCTCACACAAGCCAGCACCCAAAAACTGCTCCGGCTGTGTTTTCACGCCTGTCTTCAGTGTCCCGTTGAACTTACCACTGTTAAATCACCTTAAATCAGCGATTGTTAGTTCTCGCTGATTGAAGGAATGTCTTGCGCTGGTTCCTGAGGGTAGAGCAGTGAGCACAGCAGGCATCGGGGGTCTCGGGGCTGCTGGAGGCCCGGGTGGGGGACATGGCAGCGTGGCGGGAGGGGGAGCCACAGCGGAGAGAGCGGGGGCTTTGGGGGAAGGTGACGGGGAGCCGGCAGGCAGCCCCGGCGATGCTGGAGGACGGCTGGTGGCTTGTGGCCGCAGAGGCCCAGGCGGCCGGCGGGGGCAACCCGAGGCCATTCGCAGGCTCGCCACGCTGTTGTCCAGCTCCGTCACTGGACGTTCAGCTCCGTCACGGGGGACACCGAGTGGACTGTGCCCAGCGGGTCTGCACGGGGCTCCAGGGGAGGCCTTGGCCGGCACAGCCTCCACTCCCCACTGTGCTCCGACTGCCTGGCGAGTCTCCACCCCCGGCAGCCGTGCTGTTCATTTTGCTGTAGGGGAGGCATCATGCTTTCAAGACGTGTGTTTGGTCTAATAGCTTAAACGTCCTCAGGAAGAAAATAGAGTCAAACTGCCCATTCCTTAGAAATTTTCCTTCCTCTGATTTCGACGTTCAGTATCACCGGATGTAAGTGACCCCTCAGAGCCTTCTGAAAAGAACACCTCTAGTTTATTTCAGACATACAGAGGGAATGGTCCGAATGCTGACCCGCTTTCCCCCAGCCCCGCTGCACTCCAGGGCCAGGTGGCAAAGCTCGAAGCCGCAGGGGGACCCTCCGGTCGCCGTGGGCGTCGTGGCGGCCTCCACTGAGGTGCCGAGCGCGTGGCGGCCAGTTCTGCACGTTCGTGTCTCCCCTTCGTGGCTGCTGGCTTGTAAGTCTGTTCAGAAATGTTACATTTTACATCACCAGAGAGAATCCTGCCCAGCGCTAAGCACTGACATTAGAAGACTAACGGAAGCGCCCGTCGCGTTGAGTGTGTGAACGCTCTTCTCCTGGTCGGCATTATATAGCGAGACCTCGACGTGCTTACTGACTAGGAACAGCTGTACACATGCTGGGCCAGGCAGCAGAAGCCCAGCGGACTCCTCTGATACGTCGCTACCCCCAGTGGGTTATGAAACCAAGCATAAACTAAACAGTAAACAGGTGTGAGTCACCAAATAGAGAAACTCAGGTCCTGACTGCAGCGGGACCCAGTGAGATGAGAGGGTGTTCGCAGGGAGATACAATTTACAGGTCAGAATGTGATAGTAACCTTTCACTGTGTAAACCGAAAACGAAACTTGGGGTCTTGGGTCATCTGCAGACACAGAGAAGTCGTATAGAAATAGTCTATGGAGTTTCACGTTCGTTTTACATTTGCACTGGGGTTGCAGAGCTGTTGACTTGCCCCCTCTCGACGTGCTGACGTCCAGGTGTCTTCTTTTAGAGCTATGATTTGGAGTGTATCACTGATGCTCTAAATTATAGTACTGTATCCTCGTGGCGTCATGTTAGGGTCCCGGCCTGCTTCAGGATCCTGGTGACGCGCTGGAAAGCCAGGGCATGCGGCTTCTAACTCGAGCTCCACGGTGACTCATTGCGTCACATTTAATGCGTTCGTGGGACCCCAGAGCTGACGGGGCCCCTAGAGAGCTGACGTCATCCGCCCTGTAAGCCAGCAGATGGACTCCGGTGTCAGGAGTATTGACAGGCGTCTCCACTGCCGCCAGCAAACCAGGACTGGGGCTGGGAAGAAGCCGTTTCAGTGGACACTGGCACGGGGGTCAGGAGTCCGGCGGGACCCGGCCTTCAGAGCCTGCTGCGCTCACGTGTCTCGTGGAGACCCTGGTTGCAGCCTCGTGGACTGGCTGTGACGCCCCGCTGCCGGGCGGTATGGTGGCCACAGCCAGTGTCCCCTTGGGCAGCGGGGTGGGAGCGTCCACCACGGGCGGCCTTGCTGCGGCCTCGGCCGCTGGGCTGTCGGGCCGTCTGGTGCTGCGTCGGTCTGTCCTCTCCTCTGCTGGAAGCTCCCGTGCGTGAGTGCCGCCCCTCGGGCTGCCCAGCTGCGGGGAGGACGTCCTTCCTTCGGCTCCGCCTTCTCTGTCCAGGGTGGGCTCTCACTCCCGAGCTGGCCCGGCCCACCTGGGCTTGGGGGCTGGGCTCGAGCCGGGGCTATTTGCTGGTGGTTGCTGGACGCGCATCCTGGGCCTGGTCGGCGCAGGGCTCCCTCGAGACGCCAGCTGCAAGTCCGGGGCCCCGGGACCCCCCTCAGCATGACCCTCACTCCCACTCCTGCTTCTCCGAAGCTGCTGTCACCTGTTTATCACAGGCCGACTCTACCATGTACACTTCTTAAAATACCAGAAGTTTTTATAAGATGAATTCTGATGCATTGACTGCGTATAAAATAAGACGAAATTGTAATTTAAAACCGTATAAAAAAGTATGCCTTTACTATTCTGAAACAGTCGTCCCGCTTGTCTGTTTAGGTCCTTTGCAAAATCCTAGAAAATGTTTGGGAACTGAAGTCACCCTTTCCGGGAGAGGCTGGGTACCATCTGTCCTGGACCCCTTTCAGGGAAGCCATGTGGGAGTGTGTGGGGAGCCAGGCACCAAGGGACCGGCACAGGTGACTTAAAGTGTCGCCCTCGGCTGTGCCCCAGGGCATCCCCGCCCCACGGGGCGCCCCTGCAGCCCCAGAAAGTGTCTCGCACCGGCTTTTTCTGCCTCGCTGTCTTCGGACGCCCTGTCCACCCGTACCATGCGGCCCACCCCACAATGTCAGACACTTGACAAGCTTGTCGGGACTTTTCTCCAGTTATATTTGTGGAAAATTACTTGGAAAACCTCATTCGTAAAGTGATTCCCACTCCGCCTAAATGGCTTACGTGAGAAAGGGCGGAGGGTGAAACCCAGACGTTGATCATCAATGTGCCAAACGCCCCACGGGTGGGTCAGACCTCAGCGTAACCCTGGGAGGTCGTCACCATCTTATCGACGAGGAGACCGGGGCTTAGGGGTGCAGCCTGTCACCCAGATTCACGGAGCTGGTACACGGCAGCTCGAGGATTCCGAACTGAGCGGTCTCACCTCGGCACCAGAGCTGCTGAGGATCTCGTCAGACGGGAGTTTTCAGGAATGACTAGGAGAGAACGGTAACATCTGCACACTAGACAGAATTTAAAATGCTCTTGAATGGTATGATTTCTCAGAACCCCAGGTCAAACGCTAAAAGCACAGGTGGTGAAAGGAACTGCAGGTGAGGGCAAGACGCCAGGGTCAGGAGAGGCCCAGAGCCCCCAGGGGGAAGGAGCCACTGCCTGCGGCCGCGGGGCCCTCACCTGCACGGCGGGGCAGCACGTCATGAATTTCTTGCAGTGAAGTTGCTTTTAAAGACAATTTTTTTCTGAAAACGCTTATTGTCATAAAAATTACTATGCATAAGTGGTGAACTTTAAAAATTATTTTTCCACTTAAGATTTTTACGTTTAAATCATAAAGGATTGTAAGTAAGAATACTTTCTATTTTTGAGTCCTTGCCACATGCCAGGGAGCCTCCTCTGATCGTTTCCCCTTTAGAACAGTTTGCAAATACATCTTCCACAGAACAGGCGGGTGAACCTCAGTACGCAGAGGACCAGGTCACGGGGCTTCCAACTGTCAGAGTTGGGCTTGGCGCCCGGGCCTGCCCTCCCCACAGACGTGCTGGCTGTGGAGCCCCCAGTCGCCAGTTGGTCCGTGATTGAGACACATGAGGGATTCAGGGCATCACTGTCGCGGGCGTCCTCGAGCCCAGCCCCACCTGCTCTCCGAGCTGTCCATCCCGGCGGGCGCTCCACATAGATTTTAAACCCTAGCTGTAGGCAGCTGGTAACACAAATCGCAGCACAAGTGTGCTCACCAACGGCCTTTATCTTAGACGGTAAGACCAAGTCCCTCAGTCTCGCTGCGTATCGCTTCCCTGTAACGAATACTAGACGCGGCCTCAGAAACAGCAGGGCCTGGATGTGGTCAGTTTCGTCTCTTGGTGGCATCTCGGCGAGCTCACTGACCGCTGGCCTGATGTCCCCTTCCCGGGGAGCAAGTGCCCTCACGTCTCGCTGGTCTCCCGCAGGTGGCCCTGGTGCAGTGGACGGAGAGCGTCGGCCTCACTCTGGTCAACAGAGACCTCACGTCCATGCAGCTGAGGACCCCCAGCGGCCAGATCCTGACCTACTGCATCCTGCAGACCTTCCCCTTCACGTCGGAGAGCAAGCGGATGGGGGTCATCGTCAGGGTACGCTGGCCTCTGTCCCCGAGCTGGGTGCCTGCTCTGGTCACTGTGAGGACACTGCAGCGGTCTCTTAAGGCTCACTCCAGGGCTTTATGCTCATCGCAGTGTTTTGTAATAATAAAATCCAAACTGATAATTTATGCTGAGAAGCTGGCGTGGCTCTAATAGTCATGATTTAAAACAACTTTCCTAAGACGGCTGAGGCAGGATAAGTAGATGCTCATGAATGTTTGAAATCGGCTCGCGCTGCTTTGTTTCCCACAGCAGTCGCAGCCAGAGTTCACCTGAAGATGATTTATGACCATAACGTTGCTAAAATATACCCCTATTACATTTTTTGTAGCGAATACCACAAATACATCTTGGAAGTTGGCTAAACTAAGAAGCTTATTCACTCAAGCTCTGGAAATTTGAGAGAATTTACCTTGCAGTCCAAGGCGTATATTCATTTACAGATTTTATTTCAAAACCCTCAGCGCAGCATCTTGAGAGCCACAATTATGCTCTCGGTTCCTGGTGGCCTGAGCATCTAGGGAGGACACAGCCCTGCCTACAAGGTGTCTGAGTAACTCACCCAGGGGAGTGGGTTCACAGAGAATTGCCCTCCTGGTGCGTTCCCGTTAGAGCAGCCCCCCAGTAGCCGCAGCGTGGCCTCAACATGTCTGTGTTCACTCCCGTCTTGTTACAGGACGAGTCCACGGCAGAGATCACGTTCTACATGAAAGGTGCCGACGTTGCCATGTCCACCGTCGTCCAGTATAATGACTGGCTGGAGGAGGAGGTATGAGCTGTCTCACATTGTGCAGATGTTTTTATGAAACTCAGGGCAGTGACAGAAGCACGGCATCCTTTCTCCGACTTGTAGGTACTTGCTGGTGTCACTGGAGTGAATCAAGATGCCAGGTTTCACACCAGACACTGTCGGTTCATCAAGCAGAGAGGATAGGAGTACTGTCAATTATAAATACTGTACTTTCTGGGTGAACAACTACTGTTTTTGGTTTCTGTGTGAATACGTGTAGATGTGTGCAAGTGGGTCCTTATGAAGAATATTTTGTTTATTTTGGTGGAAAAACAGAAAGCATCCCTAATCATTCACTAGAATATTCTGAATAGTGTTGTGCATGTAACTAGAGTTATACTTGAACATGATAGTTATTTTGTACCTAAATTATTTACCAGGATATTTTAGTTAGAATTTAATTCTAATACGTACATAGGATTCACTTGAAATGTGGAGATAAGATCCGAATATAACCAACCCTATATTTTCATCAAATTCTCCCTGAACAAATACGATTTGTATTTAGCTTCATGAGATGACTTGTTGTTTGCATTTATGTATTTGTAAAAACTTAGATTTCAGAGCAAAACTAAACCGCTGAATGCATGAGTGTGACCCCCTTCTGTGCGCATGTTGTCGGTGGGGCTCAAGCGTGTCCACCCCCCTTCAGGCCAGGAGTCTGTCAGTCCAGGGGCCACAGCCCACGTCCACGACGGTATTGGCAATATGAATCAATAGCTCCTTCAGGCACTGGATTTAATCAGGGACATGAATAAATTAAACTCCCTGAAGACCTAGTAAAATGCCATAAAAATTACTTTGGGTCATAATGATGTGCAATTAATTATAAAATCCTTGTTTAATTTATTTGGCTTTATGAGGTCAAATCGATAAATGTCTTGCAACAGACAGATAATGTCAGACTGTTTTTCAGATAACTTTATTAAAAATCCTTTGTGCATTTATTTCCAACATTGTAGTTTCTCCCATCGATAAATCTTTCCACACCCTCCCACCGCAGTCTTTGTTGTTAATACTCTTGTCGTGGGGAAAGCCTTTCACTTTATCCAAAGCCAGCAGGTACTCAGAGCCTGAGTTTACAGGGGGCTGTTCTGTGTCACAGAAGCTCCCAAGCTGGATTCTGGTTATCAACGTGTGTTCCCCAAATACTAAGAAAACAAAACACACCTACGCTGTCCGCCATGCAGCGGAAAGGGCGGTTTTGTAAAGCCTGCAGCGCGAGCCCGTCCTCTGTGTGGACGTGATGCCCGTGAGCCGAGGCGGCGGTGCCTGGGGGGCAGCCCCTTCCTCTCCGCGCAGGCTGCCCTCCTTGCCCCCAGATGTGTGTTTGTTAGAAACGAGACGGAGCTAGGACTGGGGAGCAGGGCGGGATGAGCTAGCAGAGGACGTGGCCGTGGCTGCAAGTAGCGGTGGCCGAGGCTGCGGGCCGGCCGGGCCGCGTGTGACCTGCCTCTCTCTTCCAGTGCGGCAACATGGCCCGCGAAGGCCTGCGCACCCTCGTGGTGGCCAAGAGGGCGCTGACGGACGAGCAGTACCAGGACTTCGAGGTGAGCGGCCGTGGCCTCGGGGAGACGGTGCGCACGGGGGCGGCGCCGCGGGTGTCCCCGCCTCGGCCAGCCCTGCGCGAGTCACAGCACCGCCCGCCTGTCCTCAGAACCGCTACAACCAGGCCAAGCTGAGCATCCACGACAGGACGCTCAAGGTGGCCGCCGTGGTGGAGAGCCTGGAGCGGGAGATGGAGCTGCTGTGCCTGACGGGGGTGGAGGACCAGCTGCAGACGGACGTGCGGCCCACCCTGGAGATGCTGCGCAACGCGGGCCTCAAGGTACCGCGAGGGAGCAGGCGTCCCCTGGAGGTGGTCCCGGGAAACCCGCCGAGGTGGAGGGGGTGAGGGCCTTGGTGAGCTGAGGTCTCTACGCGTCCCGCGGAGCCCCGGCCCGCCCCGCCCGCCCGTCACCCAGACGCAGCGGTTCTGCTGCCCCCTTCCCGGCGGCCGTCTGTCCTCCTGGCTGCCTTCCCGGCCACGGGCGTCCTCACGGCAGCCTGAGGCCTGTCCCGGCCCGAGCTGCTCCCCACGGCAGCCTTTTATCCGCATGGGGAGGTTTGCTCCATAGACCGCATGATGCTCCCTGCCTGACCTACTGACCTGCTGGCTTTTTCTAACGGTTTGTCCTCTTCGGGTCCAGGGGAGATTCGCACGTTGTGGTGTCAGTTTTAGTTTTCAGCAAACTGCTTTCTTGCCTTACTTACCTGCGCTCTCACGAAAGCTGAAGTTCAATTACAGATGGCTGAGAAAATGCATTTCAGTGCTGCCTCGAGGACTGAGAATGAAAAAAGTACAGCTTGCTTTTAAAAGAAATACTTGTGTCTAACTGGAGCAGAGAGAGAGAACTGGAGGAAAATGTCAGAAGGCAAAGCCGTGGCCGGCTTCAAATAACAATACACTCAGCACGTTTTGATGAGGGCCCTGTGACGGGCACGGCAAGGGGGCCCCTGCCGTCCAGGCCTCTGGGCGGGGGAGATGTCGGAGCCTCCCCGCCCGTTCAGGGCCGTGGCAGGGGCGGCCGCTGGCATCTGCGTGTGCTGTCCAGGTGCTAGTCAGAGTGGAAGAGAGCAGTTCAGCCTCAGAACGGTGACCCGATCTAAGCCTGTGCGACAGAAGCTTGCGTGGAGGAACATGATTGACTAGAGGCAGACAGCCTGCTCGTTCCATTGTGGTTTCTCACGAGCTCCCCGTCAGTCTCGCTCTTGGGTGTCGCTGCTGGCTTGTCAGCACAGCCGAGGCCTGCGCGTTTCTTGTGTAAAGATTTGGGTGCTTTGTATTAGCTGCTTGCTAAGCTCTGAGGTCAGTAAGACTTGCTGGGCTTCTGCCCTTTTCCCTTTTCATGCTCCGTCAGGAGAAGCAGACTCTTTTGTCCCGTTATAGTTGAAGGATGTGGTTTCAGCCCGTCCTCTGAGCCCGAGACGTGGCGCTCGGCCAGGCCACACTTGTCCCTGAGTTATCAGCAGCGGGACTTCTTGTTCTGTGGGGTTAATTGTCCCCAACTTGGTCACAGTGACGTGTCGTTGTCTTAGATCCAGGCTCAGTAAAGTGAATATTAATGTGTAACATAAGTAAAAAACACAAACCCTCAGACACTGCAAAGAGCCCCAGGTAGATTGTGCCTAAGCAGAGAACCAGTATAGCATGTAAGTTCCCAAAAATGCGAATTTATGTATGATACACATGACACATCTGAAAAGTCAGGTGGTAGCAAGAAATTGCTGCTGTTATAGAAAAGATACATAAACCATCCTGTTCTGTATGAAGTGTCCTGGTTTTGCTCTCTTTTCAGTCTAGGGACGTTTACACATACAATATGTGCATGTGTTTGATATTTTTAAGTAAAAGTGGTGTTCGGGAGTTCCCTGGTAGCCTAGTGGTTAGGATTCTGGGCTTTCACTGCCGCGGCCTGAGTTCAATCCCTGGTCTGGGAACTGGGATCCCACAAGCCATGCGGCGTGGCCAAAAAATAATGATAATAAATAAAAAGTAAAACAAAAGGGATAGATTTTTAAAAAATATATTTTTTTGGTGGTGTTATTTGACATGACTTATTTGATACGAAACAACTTTCAGGTTAACTATTGCCCGTTTACCTATTTTGAACCTCAGTTTTCAACCGAAAAACTCACACAAGTGACAACGAGGATGTCAGGGTCCCCCTAACTCTGCAGGCCCTCAGCCTGTGGTCCTTGGGCCTGTTTGCTTGGCCTGCGAGGCCGTGTAGACGTGGCCTTCTGACACTCAGGCGTCCTCCTCAGCCCCAGCCGCGAGGCTTCTGATCCCCTGTCGTTCACCTGCCTCAGCTCTGCTGCCGTGTCTAAACGTCACTTTGCTCTTACCTGTTTCAGTTAAGCAAGTTGGCAGAGACTTTTATTGTGGTAAAATGTGCATGATGTAAAGTTTACCATCCTCACCATTTTTAAGTGCACGGTGCAGTGGCACTAAGTACATTCACACTGTCACGTAACGAGCAGCACGCTCCGCCTGCCTTAACTCTTTATGCTGTAAGACTGAGACTCTGTCCCCGTGAAACGCTAGCTCCCCCTCCCGCAGCCCGGGCACCCTCCATCTCCTTCCTGTCTCTAGAGTCTGACTCCTCTGGGGACCTCATTCAGGTGGAATCATGCGGTGTTTGTCCTGTTGTGACTGGTTTGTTTCTCTCAGCATAATTGTTGCAGGTGTCAGATCCCCTGCCTTTTTTAATATTCATTGTATGGATGGACCACGTTTGGCTTCTCCATCGTCCATCCGTGGACTCACGCGTTGCTTCAGGTTTGGCTGTTGTCAATAGTGATGCTGAAAACACGATGTGCAGATATCTTTTCAAGGGCAGACACTTCAGAGATGAACACGTGATAGCGTTGGGGTTCACCAGCTGAAACTGTTTCTTAGATATGGATGCTGACGGGCGATAAACTGGAGACGGCCACGTGCATCGCCAAGAGTTCTCACCTGGTGTCTCGAATGCAGGACACGCACGTTTTCAGGCCGGTAAGTGCACGTCCACATCACTTTGAATTTTAAATGTTTTGGATTGAAACTTACTGGTTTTGTGAGAATGTATACGCAGTTATTTATTAATTAATAGATACATTTTAAAAGAGAAGTAAGTTTCTTACTCAGTTTATAAAAACATGTTAAAAATAGATTTCTATTAGTTACATATATTAAATGTGATCAAAAAGCTGCTTTTGGGCTTCCCTGGTGGCACAGTGGTTGAGAGTCCGCCTGCCGAGGCAGGGGACATGGGTTCGTGCCCCGGTCCGGGAAGATCCCACATGCCGCGGAGCAGCTGGGCCCGTGAGCCATGGCCACTGAGCCTGCGCGTCCGGAGCCTGTGCTCCACAACGGGAGAGGCCACAACCGTGAGAGGCCCGCGTACTGCAAAAAAAAAAAAAAAAAAAAAAAAAAAAAACTGCTTTTGGTAGAGTGAAACAAGGTCTAAATTCAAGAGTATTTTTCTGTTGTACTATTAGAATTATTAACGACTAAATATCTATTTTAAAATAGACATACTGCAGTCATTTTCTGTTCAATTTATAAAAGTATATATTGAGAAAAAAATGACGTTTGTCTATTAGTTAGACACAATACATGTGGTCCAGAAGCTGCTTTTGTGAAACAAGCTTTAAATACAAAGTAGAAATGTGTTTTTAATCTACTACCATCTTCAGATTAAATGATCTTCCTCAATTAGATCAAAGAAAATTAATAGAAATGGTCGAAATTTGTGTGTTTACTGTATCTACGAGTTATGATGAAATTTGATTCAAACAAAAAATAAAAGTTTCTTGGGTCTTGATCGATGGCAGCTGAACAGACATTGTGTGTCTGTGTTCCGAAGGAAGCCCTTGCACCTACAGAAATAGTGATTTGAATATAATTTACATGTAAATGTAGTTTATTTCGAAGCATCAGAATCACAAATTAGGCCCTGCAGACTACTATTTGCAATTAAATTATTAATGATTCTGATAAAACTTAAGATCAATTTTTGTTGACTTTGCAGTGTTATAGCCCCACAAATAAAATTTCCACAATAAAACCTACCTATCTAAAGATGAGTCTGGATTGATTAACCTGGACCCATGAAGCTTTTTATTTCAGTCCTGTAATATATCATTTCTTTTATGCCCCATAAAATCTCCACAGAAAGAATGCCAAAAACTAGTATGTTGGTTTCTGAAATATTTTCATTCAAAAATTAACGATACTTCAAGATTATGACCTGATTTTACTCTTTTCCATCATTCAATCTTCCAGGTAACTCAGTTTGCTTGAACTGATAGAATAAGTTGAAACCCATGGTAGAGACAACAGAAACAGTTTTATAAAAGCATTTTGTATCACTTGGCATGTTATGAAAAGAGGCGTCTTTAAATGAAGCCTCGATTTTAGGCCATTCCGTCCCTCCCTGCTGTGTGGCCACGAGGAACTCAGCTTCCTCGGGCTGTGATGCTGAGGTGTGTTGACCTGTGACTATGCAGAACGGCATCCCTGGCGTTAACACTCACACACACCCCCACTGCCCTATGAAAGTAGAGAGACTTTCAGTCAACGGTCATCATGCTCTCTTACCCGCGTATATTGAGAAAAGCCAGTTGTCTTCCCCAGCTACGCAAAGGCGCCTGTTAGCTCATGGGGGCAGTGGTGGGGGGCCGTTTGTCCCTCTTTCTTGACAAGCCAGTTCTGTTCACTTTGTCTTACTGTAATTGTGCTACTTGCCCTGCACTTTACAGTGTACCTTTCCTGCCTTGAGTTGCCACACGTTGGAAAGCAATTCGTATTAAATTAGTAGGTATTTATTCCCATCACTGTAGGAGAAATTTGAAAGAGCGGCTGGCTATGGAATTTCCTGTGTAAAGCACTTTCCGGTTTTAGGAGTGTCTAAAGGGCTTGTTTGTCTGTGTGGCTTAAACAGTGTTGTAACTGGGCACTTCTTCCCCTTTCATGGAGGTAACCAGTCGGGGAGAAGCCCATTTGGAACTGAATGCCTTTCGAAGGAAGCATGACTGTGCACTGGTTATATCCGGGGACTCCTTGGAGGTGAGACTGGGCCCTGACCAAGCAGGTGTCTGTGTGTCTGTCCTTCTCCCTGGAGGTGAGGCTGGGCCCTGTCTGTCCGGTGGACTGTGGGCTTCCTCAGTCAGACGTGTTATCAGCCTGCATTGCCCTCTCCACTGGTTTTGACGTCTCTGCTCACAGCAGTGATGTGTGCGGGTGGAGCCTGAGAAGAGGCCAGGGCCATGTCGCAGTGAGAACTTGGTCCTTACGGCTTTGGCGCTGGTCTGTCTTGGGCTCGTTCAAAGCTCTTCGGGCGCTTGGAGGCCTGCTCTTCGTTCCCGGCGTGGCTGCCTTGGAGCCTGGCTCTGGTAGCCGTGATCTCAGTTTATCCAAACGCGTGTTTCCAGCAGCGGCCCTGGTACCCAGGACCCTCTGCTCCTGGAGGCCCCGCGTGGGGCTGGGCGGCCCGCTCGGCGCCAGGGTCGCAATGGCTGGAGCCGTCGGGTGGGGGGTGTGCTGGGGGCCCCTCCCCCTGCAGCTTTTGCCCGCGGCTCTCTCAGATGTTTCCAGAAGTCTGGGCGGAGCAGCGCAGCCTCTGGTGACCCAGTCAATGTGGCCACTGAGGCCAGCCTGGCGGGGGCGGGGGGGCTGGGGGTTGGACGGGACGTCAGGAGCAGTGGAGACGGTGCGACCTCTGTGGCCACGTGCGTGCAGATGGCGCCGTGTCCGGCTGGCTCTCCCGCCTGCTGCATTGCCGGGGCCGCGCCTCCCAACTCTGCGTGGCTGCTTCCGCGGAGCCACCGGGACCGCGGGGCCTGGACAATGGGGGCCAACGGCAGCGCTCTCACCCGCCCGTGCCCAGGATGGAGGACTTGGAGGGCGCCCCGTGCTCCCCGCCGTGCCGTCCCCACAAGCTGACCCCGGGGACGCCCCCAGCCTCGCTGGTGTTCACTGCGTGTGTGTTGTTTTATGGGAGCCGCGCGGGCCCCTGGATGACTGTCCAACTCGCTGGCTGAGCTCTGGCCTCACGTTTGCATTTCTCTGTCTGCACCGCGGCGTCTGCGCAGCTGCGGCGGGCTCCTGAGTTCTGCTCCTGTCCCTCTCGCTGCGTGTGCGGGACCCGGGAGCCCTCGCCGGCTCGGCACACCCCCATCCCCGCAGCGCTGTGAGCTCACGCTTGGGTCACCTGTTTCCGTGGTGCCCGGTGCTGCGCGACCTGCCCGCCGGTCTCCCCGGAGCCCGCGGTGTCTGGTCCCCCCCGGGCTGGGCCCTCCATCCAGCCGCTGAGTCGGTCCAGCACCTGCCGGTCCCGGGCTCCCTGAGCCCCAGCTCCTGCCCAGCACAGCGCCCTCTTGATGGTGCCAAGGAGTGCGGTCCAGTCCCTGTCCACGGATCACACTTCCTTGGTTCTGGGGGACGAAGGATGACTGTCCCCTCCCCAACTCTGGCGGCACTGATTGGGGCCTGAGCCGGCCTTCGAGCCCCCTTTCCTTTCCCGCCTTCTGTCTCTTCGCTCCGCCTCCCGCCCCTCGTCCAGAGGGTGAGGCCGGCCTCTCCAGGGCAGAAGGGCTCCGTTCCACCCCCCAGCCCCCCGCCCCCTGGCTGCGCGTGAGGAGGGGTGAGGGGCCTGGGCCTCGCGTGTTCTCGGCTGGTCCCACCGCCGGCTTCAGGTTGCTCACAGCAGCCGAGCCGCGTGCACGTGGCTGTCTGCTTTCCAGCCCAAAGCGTTTTGCGAATTTCCCCTCCGTTCTAGCCCCTCCTTGTAGGTCGATGTCTTTTTTAAAACCTCTCTATAGTTGGGGCTTGGGGAGGGAGCAAAAGTAGCTACTTGTGTTAAGCACGCTTCTGTGAGTGTGTTTTTATTGAAATCCTTTTGCTGTTTCTGTCCCCCAAATCCACATGTTGTTCCTGGCAGCCAGCCGGCCCCAGGGAAACCGCAGGCTGGAGCGCACATCCCCCCTCCCGCCAGCACCCCAGTCCCGCTCCCCAAAGGCAGCGTCGCTGTTTCTGCTTCTGGGTCCTGCGGTGGTTCCTCCCCTCAGCGGGGATACTGTGTCCGTCTGTGCTGCTGAGTACCTGCCGTGAACGCGGGTTTTCGCTCACCACCCAGGTTTTAGGTGGCAGAGGGCCTGGGACTGCGTCTTGACCTCTTCACGCGGGGCACGGGCGCCCACACGGCTCTCCTGCAGGCGGATGTGCTGTTGGTGGTAGTCGGCGCCCCGGGGGCTCAGGACCCTCATCTCTGACTCCTGTCGTTCGTGTGGGGTGACTCTCGGGGTGTCCAGCTCAGCAACGGGACCCCACAGACTTCAGGCAGCTTTGGGGAATTTTTATTTTCCCCACCAAGATGGGGAACTAAGGATCGTCGCTGAGGGTATTGTGTGCTAAAGACCAAAGACCTTTTCAGCCAACCCCGGAAGGTGGTGCTGGCATCCCCTGAAGGCAGATGGGCTTGTCCAGGGCTTCCCTGGAGCCCTCCCCACAGCCTGCGTGCGGGCTCCGTCCACCCGTCCTCCGTCCATCTGTCCGTGCCCTGAAGCCCGGCCTCGCTCCTGCCGCCCCCAGGTCTGCCTGAAGTACTACGAGCACGAGTTCGTGGAGCTGGCCTGCCAGTGCCCGGCCGTGGTCTGCTGCCGCTGCACGCCCACGCAGAAGGCCCACATCGTCAGGCTGCTGCAGCAGCACACGGGCAGACGCACGTGTGCCATCGGTGAGCAGGGGCGTCCGGGCAGACGCGCGTGCGCCATCGGTGAGCGGGGGCGTCTGGGGAGCCGGGGTCCTGAAATGAAATGCGCGGGGACGTGCGCCCGGCTCCCTCCTGCCCGCCCGGTGGATTCCCCCCGTCTTCCTGGGTGTTGAAACCCCGTCTGCCGGTTGGCGAGGAAAGCCGGCCCCTCACAGGTTCCCACTTCACGTCCGCGTTCCGTGCTTCCAGGTGACGGAGGGAACGACGTGAGCATGATCCAGGCAGCAGACTGCGGGATCGGGATCGAGGGGAAGGTGCGTCTGTCCCTTGTCCCCGCCAGGCCCCTGGTCAGCCCGCTCACACGCGTGGCCGGGGGCTGGGGGGAGGCGGACCCACGCGCTGAGGCAGCAGCTCCACGAGGGCACGTAGAGGACAGGCACGTCCTGCCGGGACTCGGGCACCTTCCTGGTCCCCGAGCTGTGCGGGGCTGCACCTGGGCCGCTCCCTGGATCCCCGCAACCCTCTCTCAGCCCCACACACACGGCCCGCGCTCGGATGTCCGGGTCTCCCGGGCGGTCGGGAGCTGTGGTCTGCCTCCTGAGCTCACGTGAAAACACCCAGAGAGACCTGGACACAGGCTGGATCCCGGGCCCCTCTGCTTCGTGAATCAGGCCACAGTGCTGAACCCGCAGCCGCTTGGCGGGGTGGCAGGTTCAGAGAACTGTCTTGAAGATGCCCCGGTCCCTGCTTAGTTTCCGTGACACCGTCGGTGCCAGGCCGGGTCCTCCCAGGGTGCTGGCGGGGGGCTCCCGGGGCGGGGCCCGCGCTCTGCCCCTGTCCGGCCCTTAGCCCGGCCCCTCTGCCTTTGTCGCAGGAGGGCCGGCAGGCCTCGCTGGCGGCCGACTTCTCCGTCTCGCAGTTCAAGCACATCGGCCGCCTGCTCGTGGTGCACGGGCGCAGCAGCTACAAGCGGTCGGCGGCACTCAGCCAATTTGTCATGCACCGCGGCCTCATCATCTCCACGATGCAGGTGCGGCGTCCGGAGGGGCCTTCCGGGGGCGCCTGGTGCCTTGCGGCCTGCGCGCATATCGGCCGACCGTGAGTAATGGGCGCTGCTCTCCTCCCTCCAGGCCGTGTTTTCCTCCGTCTTCTACTTCGCGTCCGTCCCTCTGTACCAGGGATTCCTCATGGTGGGGTAAGTGGGCCCATCATGCGCAGACGTGGCAGCGGCACGTCGGGAGGGCTTGTAGCCCGGGAGCACGTGCAGGGGGTTGCTTGCGTGGCTCCCACACACTCAGCCTGAGGACGAATCGACTGCTGTACGGAGCCACGAAGGGGGGCACCCAGAGGCAGCACGTGTCCGCTTATCCCTCCTACGACGCTGCTGTTACGGTTCTCATGGAATTTCTGTTTACGTGGGGCAGCGCACCTGGGTCGGGAACTGTGTCGGAGCCGGGACTTTCTCCAGCCCTCGGCGGCGGCATGGGGGGTGGGGGGTGACTGGGTCGCTCCCAGGCTGGGGAGCCCCTTCCTGAAGCCTGCGCCCTCCTGGCTGGACACGGTTAATCCTGATGGCGGCGTGAAGTTGGCAGCAGAGACCTCCCAGGGTGCTGGCACGGGACCTCACATTCCGGGACGGACTCCGCAAGGCCCCCGCGGTAACAAAGCTCATCCTCAGGGCGCCCGCCCGGCAGCGGGGAAGCCCGTCCGCACAGCGGCGGCCCGGGGCCCGTGGCGAAGGCTGCGCTCATGGCGCTGCCAGAGCTACAGAGCGGGAGGCCTGTGTCAGACAAGAGCAGACCGCAGTTCCCTCCCCTCACCCTGGTGACCGCGCCAGCGGGTAAAGCCAGCGTGGCGGCCGCTGTGCAATGAACACGCGCGCGGCTGCTCTCCTCCGCGAAGCCCCTCCACCGCGTGGTGAGGGCGACGGCGGTTAGCACACGTGTCCCGGCGCCATCCTGAGCGCCGTCCTGTCCCCCCGCATCCCTAGGACACGGGTCTCCCGGCCTCAGCGTCTTCCCAGGTCGGCGGAGGACAAGCCAGCGGGTTATCGCACCCTGTGGAGCCCGGGTCAAGGGCACGGTTACATGCGTGTCGCCTGGCGGCTCCCTGAACCCCGAGAATCCCGGGGATTTCAGCGAGAGGCATCGGGGGCATCGGGGCGCAACGTGGGCTGATATCAGGGCGAAGCTGGGCGGGCGAGGTCCCGTCGCGAGTGACGGGGCTCCCTCGGCCTCCCGTCCTGTGTCCTGGCCTCCTGCCCCCGGGCCAAGGGCGTCCGCTGCCTCCGCACGCCCGTGTCTCCAGAGTGGACGTCAGAGCGAACTGGGGACCTGGTGGGACCAGCTCTGGGGGTGTCTGGGGGCGCAGGGCAGGCGGGAGGGGCGGCGGGAGGCTGGCGAGGGGTGGGCCGAGCCCGGGGTGTGGGCGCAGGAGAGCTTTCCAGGAAGAGGGAGCCCTGGGGCGGGTGCTTGAGCCCCGAAGAGGACAGGGCGCTGAGCTCGGCAGCGGGGGGCCGGGGCAGTGGCGGGGGTGTGAGGTGAAGGTGCCGCTCTCCTGCCACGTGGACGCATCCCTGAACGCCCGGCTTGCCGCCCAGCAGCCGCAGGGGCTGGATCCCGGTCCCCCTCGCTCCGGGGCTCCATCGTTTCTCCCCTCCGCCCCTGGCTCCTGTGTGGCTTGAGCTGTTGAACAGTTTAGGTTCTTGTGGAAATTAGAGCCTATCCTTCCCCACGGAACTCATGCGGACCCTGCCCAGGTCCCTGGAGGCGGAGGGGAAGCACTGCCCCTCCCCCGCCCCCAGGCCCAGGTCAGGATAAAGGCTTCACTGCGACTGGCTGTGGGGCTGGGCCTTGCGCCAGTTCAGGCAGCCTGCCCTTAATGGCAGCAGGAGTTCCTGGAGTCCTTCAAAGAGAGGGAAAAGCCTAAAGGTACAGAAAGCTACAATTTTTTTTACATTTTTCCGTTGCTTGCTTAAGTCTTTGCAATAATTATCACGTTAATTACTCTAAACAGCACAGAATTTGCACAGTAGTGCTGGTTATGTCTTGAGCTTGTCCAGGGCATTTCTTCCTCGGAGGCCAAAGAAAAAGCGTAACCATTCTCACTTTCCATTTTTCAAAGTGTGGATTTGGAAGTTTCAAAGGAAGTGTCAGGGGGCAGAGGTGTTACTCCTTAGGTAAGAACTGCCTGAGTTCGTGGAATTACAGCCCTAGGCCTGATTTCGTTCCCGTCTGCAGCCTGAGCCCGTCAGCATAAGCTCGCGTTATTTTTAAAGCTCCTGTTTATTATCAGCCTTCACTGAAAGTTTTATTTGAAGTTTCTCTGTATGTCCATCACTTAAACGAGGCGCCTGTAATTCTCTGAAGCATTAGTTCCTTGGATTTGGCAGGAATGGAGGGAGATGCTTCTACGTTATGCTTCTTCAAAAATAAATAATAAAATAGTTTTGCCCTCACCTAGAAAACAAATATAAAGAACTGGGCGGGAAGCAATGTGGTGTTTTTATCAAATAAAATCTAACCAGACCAAACTGCTGACCTTCCATGATGGGATAACTGGCTCTAGGCACTGCAGGACAGTTGGTAGAATCCCATTCCACCTATGTACGGTTTTTATCCGAGTTCATTTCATTAGCTTTCTAGGGACTGGTGACCCAGGTGAGGCCCACCCGCACTGCTGGTTACTTCACGGAAGGAAGCTCGTGCCGAGGCCGCCCCGGTTCCCCCTGGAGCCCACCAGGCGGCACCTGGCCCACTCCCCTCACTTAGCCTTTGGTTGCGTCTGCCCACATACCTGAGGTCCTGGGAGGGGCTGTGCCCTACCTCCACACGCCTCCCTCGGCAGGTCCTCTGGGGAAGCACCGTGCATCCTGGCCCCACTTAGCGTTCACAGGCGTCAGCACATCCAGGATTCTGCAAGACCCGCTCCACATGGTCGAGCCAAACCCCTCCTTTGCCCCACAGCTGCCGACGTCCCGTGTTCAGGCAGCATCCGTGGAGACACGCAGGTCTGCTCTAGCTGAGGTGTCCCTCTCGTGATGGCCACAGCTCCCAGAAGGCACCCCCGGGCCATCACAGGTGTGCATCCTCGCAGGGGATTTCAGTGGGGAGCCTGAGGATGCACGTGGGAAAACTAGCAGATGCCGTCTTCACAGGGTGCCAGGAGGGCACGTGACATCTGAGGAAGAGTCCTGAGCTGCAGGCAGGAGCATGGGCGAGTGATGAGGAGGTGGGCTCGCAGCCCGTCACCAAGGGGCACCACGGAGCGACAGGAAATGCCCTGTCCTCCCAGCCCACGCGACTGGAAGACACGGTGAGGTACAGGGAAAAGCTGTTTTCGGACCGTGGACACCAGGCAGCAGGCACTGATGCCGGAGACAAGGGAAGCTGGCAGAATTCACAGCTGGAAATCCCTGGAACCTTGGGGGGTAAAGATTCCTTAGGCACAAAATGCGTGAACTGTCACAGGAGAAATTGGCAAGATGGACTTCATCAAAATTAAGTCTTCGCTCTTCTAAAGACAGTATTAATCAAATGAAAAGGCAGGCTGGGAAACAGTCTTTTCAGTACCTATATCTGATAAGAGCTCTGTACCCAGAATGTTTCATGATCTCCAAACAACTCAATTTTTTAAGAAAAGGCTAAAGATTTGAACGTACATCACAAAAGAAGATGTAAGAATAGCCAATAAGCACACGAAAATATATTAACATCATTAGTTACAGGAAATGGAAATTTTAACCCCACCTAGAGGCCAAGTTAAGACAGACCGCGCTAAGTGTCAGCAGGAAGCTGGGGCTCCCGGGACTTACAGCTCCTGGCCGGAGCGCACAATGGTGAAACGAGCCCGGAAGACAAGTTGGTCGGTTTTTCATATGATTAAGCATATGGCCCAGCAACCCTCCCCTCCGAAGCCTGCTCCTCCTTTATTTGCGGTGAGATCCACCATGCCATGTCTCTACCGCCCCGGGGGGTCGGGCGGGGTGGGGGGAGCCAGAGAAGCAGCAGACGCCAGGTCCCTGCGGCCCGCGGCCCAGCCTGGGGGCTGATGGGGGGATGGGGGTCTGCGCTGGGACCCTGGAGGAAGCCACCCAGTCGCATGCTGGAAACTGCCCTCAGCAGAATCAGCTGATAAAAGGGGTGGTGATGATGTTTGTGATTTGGTTGTAAAGCCGGAGGAGTTTCTGGCACAATAACAAGGTTCTCATCGACGCTCTTTACGAAAATAGAGGCTCCTCGGGCCTGCGCTGTGACACTCGTGAATCCCGGTGCAGGAGGGTCACTGGGCCTGGCGCACGTGCAGCTTGGTCCTCGTGCGTCGGCTGGCTCCGGGGGATGTGGGCCATGTTCTGCCTGGGTTCCTTGGCCCTTTCAGCCCCCTGAGTCCTAAGGGGACTAACAACAGCAATTAGAGATTTAGAGGAAAGTAAAGAGCATGTGCTTGTTGACCTGACGCAGAAGTTAGAGGTTGAACCTGTAGGTAGAGAATCGAGCCATCAAAGTGCAGGCTGACACTGGACAGCGGACGGGAGACTTGAGCAGGGGACTGGGGACGGCAGACGGGCCCGTGACGAGGCGGTCAGTGTCATCAACCACCAGGAAATGCATATTTTAACCACAGTGAGCTGCCCCTCCACGCCTGTCAGAATGGCTGAAACACCTGTGACAGCAGCAAATTATGGCGAGGATTCAGCATCCGGACCCCTCATACGTGCTGGCAGGGATGTGAACTGGTGCAGCCGCCCTGGAAGGCGGCTTGGCAGCCTCTTATAAAACTAAACATGCAGCCGCCCTATGGCCCAGTGCTTGAACTTGTGGATCCCAGGTGGCACCCGTGTCTCAAATAAGTGCAACTTACTTTTACAAAAAACCTGGGCAGTGGATGTTTATAGCAGCTTTATTTGTAATAACCGGACCCTGGGAACGACCCAGATGCACTTCAGAGAATGCCCGGGGTGCAGAGCTGCTCTGTCCACAACCACGAATGCTCCTCAGCCACCAGAGGACGGCCTGTCGTGTGGCCACACCTGGGTGACCCTCCAGGGACTGGGGCTGAACGAGAAGCCGAGCCCCAGGCTCACCTGCTGTGTGGTGCGTGTGTGTCACCTTGAAGTGACAAAAGTTATAAGATGGAGGACAGTTGCCAGGGGTTCAGAGGGGCTGGGAGAGAAGCAGGCTTCAGGGGTCCCTGGTGGGCTTGGGTGCTGCGTCTGGACCATGTCAGTGTCGGCGTCCTGCTGGAGATTGGCTGCAGTTTTGGAGATGCTGCCTCTGGGGAAAGCTGGTTGAAGGTCCCCGTGGTCTCTGTGTTACTTCTGGTAACTGTGCTCACCTCTGCCGTGATCTCAAAATAAAAGCTTTAATTAAAAAAGGATCCTGCTGCCTGTCCGCATTTGTGGCTTGTAGACCTTGCTCCTGTACTGTGGGTAAGTACTCAGTTTTAGGACAAGTCGTGCTTGGTTGCCAACTTGTTATTTTCTGCTTAGGGTTTGACCTTTGGCCTCTGGTTCAGAGGTGTGCTCCTGGTGGTGCCGAGTCCCCCGTGTAACCTCCCTGCTCTCCTCCAGGTATGCGACGGTCTACACCATGTTCCCTGTCTTCTCCCTGGTGCTGGACCAAGACGTGAAGCCCGAGATGGCAATGCTGTACCCAGAGCTGTACAAAGACCTCACCAAGGTGCGGCCTCAATTAGGCATCAAAGGGGAAAACGGCGTTTGCGCGAATGTTTGCAGTGCAGCTCTGATATCACGCGTCGAGTTGTAATTGCGAAGGGTGCTCATAACCGTTCGTGGAGCTTCTGTGGACTAGAACCGTGGCTGAGGGCTCCCTCTTTCTGGGTGAAGGGTGCTTTGAGCGGGGGCTCCCGGTCAGCACTGCGCAGTGGGTGGGGCGGGCTCCCGGCCCACCTGGAGCGGCCCGGCGTTCGAGCCGGTAGGGACCTGGAGCCTGGCCGGAGCCCCTCTGAATGCCCACATCTCCGGCCATGGGCTTCAGAATTTTGTCTGAAAGGGATCTGCAGTATGTTTCCGTCCCTGAGACCCGCGTGCTGTTGTCACGGTGACGCTACTGAGGTAGAAGTCCACTTCCCCGAGCTGCGCAGGCTTCATTCACGCAGCCCAGAACTGCTCTGGGACAGTTAAACATTCCTGAAAGAAGTTTTAAATTTATCGTGTTTTTTAATGAAAACATATCTCTGTAGCATAGAAAACATGCTCCACTGGGTGGAAGACATGCCCAGCTCCCCACACACAAACCCTGGTGACCTCAGAACCTTCCAACACTGAGTTATACACTAATATGTATAAAATAGATAACTAGTAAGAACCTGCTGTATAAAAAATAATTTAATTTAATTTAAAAAAAAAGAACCTTCCAACACTGAGAACAAAGTCCACGGACCCCCAATTAAATTTAGGTTTACAGTTGATAACCTGAAGTTACCGACTGATTTTTAAAGCTGTAGCCATATGTTGTAACGGAGAAAGAATCAGATTAGGCATTAACAGGTAGACTCGCCCAGCTAACCTCTAACCAGGCCCAGTGGTGTTGGGTGAGTCACATAAATCTTTGGATTTGATGGTGTTATTGTCAGAATTTGATGAGATTAAGATTTTTTTAAATTTTATTTTATTTTATTTATTTTGGCTGTGTTGGGTCTTCGTTGCTGCGCACGGGCTTTCTCTAGTTGCAGCGAGTGGGAGCTCCTCTTCATTGCTGCACGTGGGCTTCTCATTGCGGTGGCTTCTCTTGTTGTGGAACGCGGGCTCTAGGCGCGTGGGCTTCAGTAGTTGTGGCACGTGGGCTCAGCAGTTGTGGCACATGGGCTCAGTAGTTGTGGCTTTTGGGCTCTGGAGCACAGGCTCAGTAGTTGTGGTGCACGGGCTTAGTTGCTCCGCGGCATGTGGGATCTTCCCAGACCAGGATTGAACCCGTATCCCCTGCCTTGGCAGGTGGATGCTTGACCACTGTGCCATCAGGGAAATCTGAGATTAAGACGTTTTCAATCCATTGAAAAAAATAGAAAATGCCTGTATTACTTCTATAATCAGGGCAAAAATAAAGCTAGCTCAACAGTATAGTATAAAATAAAATAGCAAACATTATATTTTATAATACATTTTATTTGATAATAAGATATAGATGTGAGACATATATAAAGCATTATTATCATGATAAAAATATCATTGTGAATATTACAAGTAGAAGAAAAACTTTTTGGTTTAATATCCTAAGATGGTGAAACCATCATCATTCAGTGAATCAGAAGAGGCTCAAAGATCCACAAACTACAGGAGGCTGTTGCGAATGATTATAATTTTAGTAGATTGTGTGTTTCCGTATTTCCAGTGGCTCCAGAAATGTTTCCCTCACAGATACGAGGGGGAACCAGCTTCTTATGAACATCAGTGGAGGGGCTCGGTGGATGCTCAGGGTTAAGGTCACTGCAGGTGAGGCCAGGTGATGCTGCCAGAGGTGGGAGGACTTCCTAGCAGAACTTCAGTGTCCCCACCAGCGAGGGGACCCGCCGCTTTCACTGTTGCCCACCAGAACCTTCTTTGTGGGTTGCCACGTTACTCTAGTGATAAAAGCAGGCTCCCGGGGTCACAGGTGTCCGGCGCTGAGTCCCAGCTCCCCTCTGACTGTAGCCGCGAGGTGGTGAATCCACACCATTAGCTGATACATTTGAACTTGAGGGGATGTTAGGAAACCACGTCCAATTCCAAGTAAGTTGGGTCTTGTTAAGGGTGCTGGCTTTCCATTCTTGTTAGGGTGACCAACAGTTAGAATATTTCAATATCCTAGAGTCAGGACCGCATTCCTAATCTTTTTGACAAGAGTTCAGTCACTTATTTTCTCTAGACGCCTTTTCTTCAAGATCCGGAATCTGTACTTTTTGTCTTTAAAGTATATATTTCTTTAAAAATTGCATACACTCGAAATGCTTTGAAAATAAAGTAGCCCTAAGGCACTCAGCCAGTTAACTTGCTAAGAAGTGAGTATTTTTCTTACTGAAGCTAGAGAAACATTCTGAAGCTTTACACTGCTTCTGAGCCCAGCACTTTGCACCCGCTGGGGACAGGCAGTCTGTCCGAGTCCATCCCTGTGGGTGGCACGGTTGAGGGTCCCGTGCCGGGCACTTGTAAAGACCTAGAAGGCTCTGCTCCTGGTCTCCACAAGCCTTCAGTCGGGAAAAGAAAACATGAATTCGGGGTAAATTAAATGATGGTTGGACAGTAGCAGAAAACAAGCCACGGGCTGGAATGTAAGTTACTGTCCAACAAATGATTTATCTTGTAAGTTCTGAGCAGAAATCTCAGGTCACAGTAAATTCATTAAATACCACAAAGGTAATCAAGGGAAGCAGCGTGCACATCCCTTGTAAAACAGAAAGGAAAGAACTCTACTTCGAAATAAAATATCCTGGTTTTATACTTATTTCATAGCCAGTCTTTTTTTTTTTTTTTTTTTTTTTTGCGGTACGTGGGCCTCTCACCGTTGTGGCCTCTCACGTTGCGGAGCACAGACTTCGGATGCGCAGGCTCAGCGGCCATGGCTCACGGGCCCAGCCGCTCCGCGGCACGTGGGATCTTCCCGGACCGGGGCACGAACCCGCGTCCCCTGCATCGGCAGGCGGACTCTCAACCACTGCGCCACCAGGGA